TTCAAATGGCTGAGAGACTAATATTATCATAACAGGAATTAATACTGTCATGAAGCCGATTAATACCAATGTCAGAAAACCTTTAACCTCTGCATGAGAAAGGGCTGAATGAGGTCAAGATACTAAAAAGAGGTAATGCAGGCAACCCTTAAGCATCATTACTGCAGGATGCCTCCCTCAGGTGGAGAAGTACCGCTCCCCAGACCAGGAGTGGGAGAGCTGGCTGACCTCCATTGGTGTCAATCACTGTCAAGTGCAGCAGCTGAGAACGTGGTTTCTGAGCTTGGGCGAGGAGCTGTGGTGCTGTGTGCAGGTGGGCATGGGGTGATTGCTGGTGCGTAACCTTTTGGATCCACTGAACGTATTGTTAGTTGTTCTCATAGCTCAGGGTTAATCTGTTTTCAGAGTAGGAAAAACGTAGTTACAAAGAAAGTGTGCAGAATTGGGAACATTGATAGTAAAATCCTTACTGCTCCATTGTCTAAGCTTATGCATTGAAACCTCGTGCATTGGGTAACATATTCCACTTACCCAAGGAATGCATTTCTGGGGTAGGGTCTGTACAGTGAGATAGCCAATTAGGACACTTAACTAATTTTGGAGAGAAGTGAATCCAAAGTGCACATCTGGAAGGACCTTATCCCACCCTGCTGCCTAGACTCTTTATCAGTAGTGGAAGGTTCTTGGCTTCAGTGTTTCTCAATAACATCTCTGCACGCCGGGGGGCCAGATGGTGGTACCTGGACACAAGGCCAATGAAAGGTGGGCTGGAGAGGCCAGCCAAACTGGGATGGAGTGGAGCGACAGCCGCCACAGCCAGAGGGGCTTTCACTAGCCAGCCTAGCCCACACTCCTCTGCACATGATAACGGACTCTGCTGGGAACCCAGTAGAACCTCATGGTGGGTTTGTACGTCCCCTTTTCCCCCTAACCCTTCCCCAGGTCAGGAGCGTACTTTGGGCTTGCGGTGCGTCACACATAGCTTAGAAAGACTGGTATGTTAGCATGAAGCTGAATCTCCCTCAGCTCTCAGGTAGCCCTTGTCTTCCCTCCTCTTCCTCTTTGCACAGACTTAAGTGGCTAAGCTGATTCCTATTGCCTGTGATTGGGAATATGGGATGCTCCTCCCTCCATCCTCTGGTTGGGGACTTGGAAGATGCACAGAAGGACAGATCTGGCTTCCCTGAAGTGCTTGTGAGCAGAAATAACCCTGTAGGGATACATGTAGTGAAAATGTGTTTCTCCCCTCAAAATGGTAGGCTAGGACTGGGAAATTACTGGAATTACTTTTGTTGTGCCAGGGAAAGGTGGCTTCGCTCCACTCCTTCCTCACATAGCTGGCAAAAATTTGCCTTGCAGAACAGTTCCTCTTCTATGGAAATGATTTTTTGTTGAATCGGAAACCTCTTCAGTTTTGCTGGACTTCTTGTCTAGAGAGATCACTCAGATCTGCCAGAGCATCAGAGGCAAAATGAGGGGGTAAGAGATTGGGGTATCGCCATGCCAGGTGCTGAGGCTCTCCTCTGGAGTACAGATGTTCCTCCTTCTTCAGAAGTAGTTTCATAATTTGGGTCAGGCATGATCCGGAGGTGGTTCCCTGTTACCCTTGTTCTGGTTTGCATCGTGGAACAGTCTTGGACTGGGCTCCCCAGGTTGCTGTAGGGTTGCATGGCCGTGGGGCTGCCCCGATGGCTTTCAGGCCATCACTCTGCCACACAAGTGGCCACCAGAGGAACTTGCCTGTGATGCCGTTCTGCCTTTATACATTCCTGTTCAAGACATCAGTTTGGCCAGCCCTCGTTAAGGGCTCGGCCCCACATTCCATATGCAAGCAAAGATACTCTTGCTGTCTGTGGGATTTAAAATCGTTTTGGGTTTACTCTTGGGTGCTGCTCATCATGGGAGGAAACTTAAGCGATGAAACCACCTCCCAAAAAGAGGGCGTATCGGTTTCCATGTTTCCAACAGTAGATCCGATGACCTTTTGCAAAAGCAGAGCTGAACAAAAAATTGCTTATGAGCTAGAAGAGGGTATCTGAGCTTAGAAAAACAGAGTAAAGCAGTGGCTATGTACTTTTAGAAGGCAGTTGTGCTGTTATCTGTAAGGCAACCTTTTGTACTTCATGTGATGCAGACTGCAGGGTGGCACCAGAGGCATTTGTTGTGAAAGTGACAGCCCCCAGAACTCTAGGATATTTTTTTTTCTAAGTGTCGTATGATATGAATATATGAATTCCTCCTAACTCTTTGTGAGCATCAGAGACAAGCGTGAGAGCAGTGAAGCAAGAAAGATGAAGATCTAACAAGATTAATTTGAATGCAAGACAAAACACATTTGTTTAAAAAAAAAATCTTGAAATAGGTTTCCCTTGGAATGCTGCTAAACATGACTTTATGAGTAATGCATGTTTGTCTGCTTGTCTGTTTAAAACATACAGCTTTTTGTTGCTTGGGAGCTTCATTTAGGTAGTAAATATGTACCTGACAAGCTTCCTACAGCAGTTGGTGCAAATACAGGCAATAAGCATTTGAAAAAGGACCATCTTTGGTCTTGAATGAAGAAGTGGGAAGAAATGGGAAGCTCTCCTTTACACTTCTCTGCATTATAAGCCTTAGTAAGCAGTATAATCTTGCTTTCTAGGAAGAAAAAAAAAAGTTTAATTACTCTTACAGCCAAATGCTATACATGGTTTTAACCTAGGGTCCAAGCAATAGGAGGCTGAATTTGATGAAAAGGTTGATTTCAGCCTTTCATGCTTTGTAATGCTCTAGTCAGCCTCGTGGGACTAACAGAGTCTTCTGCTCTTCCATGTACCTGGTTTAGATTGTGATTTTTTTTTTCGTGTATTTTGTTCTATAAATGTGTGACAGTTGGGTGATTGCTGTGGTGAACTGAAACAAGTCCCGCTGTGACTGGCCTGCCCAATTTGGTGAAATATTTAGTGAGGGAGGTTATTCATTCAGCAGAACCGAGCAGTCCTCCAGCTCATGCTGTTTATAATTGAAAATGATTTCTGGGTGAGTGAGTTAATTATTTCTTGCTGTCTCACTACCCTCTACCTATTCTAAAACTGTGTATTGACCTTCAGGAACAGCAGAATTTCAGCCCTGTGGTTCCTAGCATATGTTGGTTATTTTGATTGGGGTGAATATTTACTGTTTCTCCTAGGAGGTTCAGACATAAAGTTTAGAGCACCTGCGGGTAAATATGTTCATGGTTCAGCACTTTAATGTGTCAATTAGCTACTAACAGTGTCAATAAATTGGACCCGTCAAAAATAATAGCTTCCTCACCAGTCTCCGTGCCCCGCTTTACCTGTGTGCTGCAAGAAATACATTACGCACCGCCAAAAATAGTAAAAGGCAACTTTTCCATGCCTACAGCAAAAATTAACAAAGCAAAGCTGCTTTCTTCAGCGTCGGGTCTTGCACGAATGACCCCCCCTCTCTTAGATTCCCGCATGCAACTCGTGAAAGTTACAGCAATTTCATCGACTGTTGCATTTCTTCAGCAGATGGGCTGCAGAAGCTTGGTGCAAATGACAGCAGCCTGCACGCCCACCCACAGGTGTGGATAAATATCGACAGGTTGCATCTGCACACATGCAGCACCAGCAGTCCTGTCAGCAGGGCTGATGAAACAGGGTGTAGGACGCTGCAAATTGCTTCTTGCATGCCGCTTGTGGATCAGTAGGTTTTGGGGGTTTTTTTAAGCGTTGTTCAAACACGGAGCAGTCATCCTGGAGCTGATATGCCTCCAGCAGAGGCTAAAGTGGGTGGCAGTAAGGAGGGCAGAGGGTGGCCAAGCATCAGTGGTAGCCATCTGCAGCTCAAGGACCTGCCAGACAGGCACGTATTTCTTTGCAATGACTGTATCCAGTCTCTTTTCAAATCTCTGTAAACCTTTAGCATCCACAAATCTTGTGGAATGGAATTCCACAACTTTGTTATATGGACAAGCCTGGTTTTTGTTTTGAATCTGCTGCCTTCAGTTTTCATTAGATGTCGTCCAGTTCTTGGTTTAATCTATTAATTTCCTATATAGTAAGATTTTATGCAGGTGGGGGGGTTTTTTGATTGTTATTACGTAAAATTTGGTGTAATAGGCAATAAAAACGTGGTTTAGCTCTCAACATTTCCACCCACTGGAGATCAAAGCGAAAAGAATGAATACCTTAATAGTGGAAGTACATTTTCCTTTTAAATGAGATGTAACAACGGGTTATGAAGAAAAACATCTTGTGATTGTTATTCAGCTATGTAAGATTGCAGTAATAGGAGTAATAGGAGATCACCACAGTTTTTCAATTATGAGATATTCTTGAAAGGGAGAGGAGACCAAGCAACCCGTTGTCCTGCTGCAAGGCCAAGTGCATGAGGGCTCCAGCTCAGAGCAGCCTCAGCCAGCATGACAAAATTGTGTGTGGCTAAAGCGAGCCACAGGCCACTTGCCCGGGCTGAAGTATGGCCATGGTTTGTTTTATCCCAAAGGGACAGCTACTGCTGTCCGTGAAGCTGAGTGTGTGCTTCACTTCTTTGCAGAATAAGGGCCTTCTGGCAGATCCAAATCAAGGTGATGGTGTGTCCTGGCAGGTCCAGGACCCCAGCCAGGGTCAGTGCTGCCGGTCGTGTTGCACCTGCAACGCACGTGCGCAAGGAGACTGGCATGTAAGACGTGCTTTGTGTGCACAGACCAAGTGCAGTTGCTCTTCACAACCTCGTGGGTACAACCTCTTGCAGACACTGTACCCAATGCCAAGGGGTTATTTTTTGCAGCCCTGAATCATAGAATCGTAGAATCATAGAGAATGCCAACAGTAGTTTCTTATGAGCTGGGCAGAGAAGGGCATGCATCGCCAAGAAGGATATGCTTAATGACAAGGTGACATGAGTCCAGCCGAGGTCTGCCTCCCTTTGCAACAGTGAATGCCAAATGCTGCACGGAGGGAGAGGAACTGCAGTGAATGCCATTGTGGTCCCAGTTCTCATGTTAGCCTTACTCTTTCTCACCGCAGGTTACATCCAGGCCTGCAGAGGACTGATGATCTCCGCTGTCTGCCTGGGCTTCTTCGGTGCTGTTTTCGGACTGGTTGGGATGAAGTGTACAAAAGTCGGAGGCTCCGATCAGACTAAAGCGAAAATAGCTTGTTTAGCTGGACTGATTTTCATACTCTCTGGTAAATATGCCTTATTTCTCTAAGTTTGTGTATTTGAAGCCTTACCAGAGCTGCTTCTTTTCCGCAGAAATCCGTGCTCAATTCTCCGTGACTTCATTGGCTTCAGGGTCAGGCTCAAAGCTCTTCTGCCAGCTCCACTGAATAGTTTGTCTTATGCTTTTCAGGGTTGTGCTCTATGACTAGTTGTTCCCTGTATGCAAACAGGATTACGTCTGAGTTCTTTGATCCTTCTTTTGTTGCACAAAAGTAAGTACTTTGCTATACCCATAAATCTTTCAAAGAAGTAGACCTTAAGTTACATATTGCGCACCAGAAACCATTTAGACAGAGAGCAGGTGCTTCTCCTGTTGGACAGAGAAGGAGAGTGGGCTGCAGTTTCATTTAATCGTATTTTCCAACTGGAGTAACTGTGTGCTGAAATCTAATGAAGGAGCATCTCCCCGTATAGCACTGGCTCTTTGTGCTCAGGCTTATCGCAGCTCAGCAGGGTTCTGCCCCACTTGCCGCAGAGCAAATGGGGTTCGTCGGGAGTGAAGCTTGGGTTTATATCTGAGATACGGCAAAAGGGTTTCACAAGACAGAGGCGCTCATTAGGCACATCGTTTGACAGGGAAGGAAGAAAATTTTTTCCTTAGGCTTTCGATGGACGGTGATTTCCATAAAGGTGTCAAGCACTGCGCAACCTTGACTCCTCTTGAAGAGAGGCTCTTGCTAGCTCTGTGGACTTTTTGCTGACAGATTTTGAAATCTAGATGACTGAAGTTTGGATCATAAATGTATCGTAACTCGTGATCTTATAAGCACTAACATAAATGCTTTGTCTATAATTGTAATTAAATTTAAGGGAGTGAGTGTTTATAGAATTGCAGGATCCATAGCAGAAATAATGAACGTCCCTAAAGACTCCCTTTAGAGCTGTGCAAGTTCTCAGGACCTACAAAGGCAGCAATTCACAAGCCAGTGCTTGGATTTCAGATTCACGTCTTAGCTACCAAGTCTGAAAATGTTGACTGTGAATTATAGTATCATAGACTTTCCTGTTTTGGCTTCTTAAATAATGTCACGTTGTCTTTATAGAGAAACATCTAAGAATTTGTTTGGTGGTGATTCCAGGATATATCAAGCATTGGGTATACTTTTCCCTAACACTCAAGTAAAGGCTCAGGAAGGAACCCTGAGCTTTTCTGTTTCATCTTGATAGAAAGAAAATAGTCTGAATAAGTATCATTAACTGGATTCACTTTAAAGGGAGGGCTGATACTGTCTTGAAAAAAAGTTCTTACTCATTTCCTCCATAATTCTGGTATAATTTCTGCTTGTTTGATATGATGAGGACAGGATCAAAAGGCCTCCAAAAGAAACAGGATGTGAGGTGCTGCGAAGAAAATGGAGCCTGGCCATATAGCCAGAAGTTAATTATTTGTCAGGCTTACTGTTCCTAAGAAAAATAGCCTGGCTGTTGCAAGAAGTCCCTTTCTGACACTGTATTCCTGAGGAAACTTCACAGCAGAGTTTTAGTGTGAGAGAATGAGAAATTCAGTTTAAATATTGAAATAAAGGTAGTAAAACATCCTCTGCAGAAATTACCTTTTTCTTGAGCAGGCAGCAGAGCCCAGCTGTGGGCACACATAATCACCACTGCAAAGATAGAGATGGAGAGGAAAGCCAGAAGTTGTGGCGTGCGTTGCGCACGGTGTATGTAGCTCATGCTATGACCTTGAGTCGGATTACGCTAATGGTGGCATTTAATTTCTTTCTCAACCGGTGTACAATATGCTGAAGTAGTGTATTTTGTTGCCATCTGTGAACTCTTACTTTGGTATGCTCTTCAGAAGCATTTCGTGTGCTTTGCTGGTATATTTTGGAAAGTTGGTGTTGGCTCTTCACTGAGAGAGGGTTTCAGGCTTTGAACTTTTATTGCATGTTTCTTTCCTGAAGTTATTCTGGCAGTGCCAAGGACGAGCTTGAGATACTGCGAGTGGAGAACAAATGACACGATATGATTAGCATCGTCTCAGCTGCCAGTTTCCCTTCATCCAAACTACCTGACCAACTTCCCATTCTCCTTATGTACAATTATTTCCCTTCAGCTTTTTTGTCTCTGAATGGATTGTGCACAGTTCCCACACACCCCCTTTCCACTATCCCACTGTTATATTTGAATAAATTTTTCGTTTTCCAAGAATCGTAAGAATTGGACATTCAAGGGGGCCAGTTAGCTCAGTCAGTTGAGCATGGCGCTAACAACACCAAGGTCCCGGGTTCGATTCCCGTTCGGTCCCCATGTGTTGCCTGATCTAGTCGAGAGGTGGCGTCCCTGGTGGCAGGGAGGCTGGATTAAAATGATCTCTAAGGTCCCTTCCAGCCTAGGCCATTCTATGATTCTGTGATTCTATGAAAGAAGTGTATTTCCCTTGGGTAGTTGTGCTGATTCAGTAGGTACGTCCTTTACATTTGCCAGTATCCAGTTGGCTAATGAAGCTTCTACTGGTTTGCTTGGAAGTTTACTTCATGGTCCAGACGTATGTAACCTCTAAGCCTCTTTGTCAATGTCCCACTCCCCCTTGAGCTGCCCTCAATCTCTAACGGATCTCTAACCAGATTCATTTAAATGATTGGCAACAGTGGATGAGCAGCCACAGACTTTGGAGAGTGGCAAGAAACATGTTTCCTGCAAATTTCTTCTAAAAAAGCCTATATCCTTTTTTTTTCTATTTTTTCTTTTTTTTTTTCTTTTCTAGAGGTGCTAATATATGGAAAGCTTTTTTCATATTGGAAGGGTTTTTTTACATACTGAGTTTTGGTGGGAGGTTGGGTTTGGCTTCTCAAATGCTGAAAAGATGGACTGGATAAAATTCAGGGAGCCATACGCAGGTTGATATGCAATTGAAAATGTGAAGTTTTCCTCAGAAGCATCAGTGTAAATCGAAAAAGTTTTTTATTTGTTTAAAGATACGGAGAAAAGACCAATTAGGCCAGCTCTGCAACTCATTGACCTAGTGACGTTAATGAAGAAAGGTCCATATATGCAATATTATGTTATAGTAACAACGGAGTTGGAGCTAGATGATCTTCAAGGTCTCTTCCAACCTTAACCACTCTATGATAACAATTGTTGCTTTAAAAACACGAACAATCCCAAGAACAAAGACTGGGTCCCATATCTTCTTTTCCAACAGGCAGGCAACAGTCAGATAACCTTTTCTATTCAATTAAACCCAAAGTCATCTTGATTTCTTTTCTGTACAACTGAAGAGCTTCAGGAGGCGAGATGGTAATTGGTCTCCTTATCTCTCTCACATGAGACTCTGGGCAATCATTTAGTGTTGTTAAGTGGAAATGGGGAGGCAAACTTGTGTTTCCCACTTTCTAAAGAAATGGTCTTGGCAAGGAAGTTTTTACAGCAACAGCCTTCCTGGGTCTTGAACCTCCAGTTGTTGAACTGACAGAAATTTGCTCAAGTCTTGTGAAAACCATAGCACATGGTCGGAAATGTGAGCATTGTTAGAATTTAAGTTCGAGGGGTTTGGCAGATTTCGAAGTCGAATGGGGCTGGATGCAGGGTGAAAGGCAGCTGAGCTACAGTTTCTGGCAGTTTGATTTGGGGGCTGGGTACCTAAGTCTCACACTGGGCATGGAGAACGTTTCGGGGAATCTGATCCTTTTTTAGCAAGGGATGATAAATAAATAAAAATCTGTTTAGATGATGTGAATAGAAAATGAATAAAGAAGCCTGGCAGGGTCATGAAGAGTCACGTTCAAGCCCTAACAAAGTGTTCTACCTCTGAGCCCCAAGGTCTCCATCTGTTTTGGCAGGAAGTCCCTGAGTGGGAAATGACTTGAACCTGGGTGTCCATAGCATCCAGCACTGATACCTCAAGCGTGGCTTTTTCTCCTCAAGTATTTTTTTTTCATCTCAAGAACACACGGAAAAGCGGCTATTTTTGTTCTCCAGCCAGTTTTCACCCTCTTGTGACATATTACAGAAGTTGCTATATTGTTTGCTGGGGGTGTGGGCTCACAGGCAGTTTTTGAGTATTTCCCCAGTGTCATCTTTGTAAAGACACAAGTTTTGTAGAACAGCTTACAGGTGTTTTCACCTAAAGATTTCAGCTAATGTGAAATTAGGATCTGTTCACCTGGAAACGTTCCAGACTAACTGGAAAGTTTGCAAGTGCACAGTCTTTCAGTTGTACGAGCAGGCTGTCAAGCAGAGGCTTTCATTCGTCTGCTTACAATAAATAAATAAACTTACTAGCAAGGGCTTGAAGAGCGCAGTCGCCTGACCGAGAACTGTGGCTGGATGGGGGACAGGGGCCTGTGTTTCCAGTGCAGGATCCTAGGTGTCACGAGGAGATACAGCTTTTCTCCAGGACGAATGGGAACAGAGAAGAAGGAACAAGAGACACACCGTCTGTCCTAAGAGCAAGGAACATGAGACTCTGGAGACTGCCTAATACAGGTCATCCTGAAAGTGTTTTAAAGGGTGATACTTCAAAGAGCTGGGGAATGGTGCAAACAAGTGGCAGCTGGCGGCTCATCTTGAAGCTCCAGAGCTCACGTTATGGGTGCTGTGCTCGAGCAGGGGTAGCAATCTCTTCCCTACGCCCTTCTTTTCCTTCATTTACTATTGCTTTAGAAACTTGGACTTACCCTTGTGTGATAATGCTCCTGAAGCAGCACCACCTCCTCTCAGAGTCAAACTGAGCAGGTTCTGGTTACAAACATTTTGCGGGGACTGTTGCTGGTGACCTGGAGCTGTGCCCAAGGGCTTGGAGGGGAGTGGTGTCTTCCAGCCATATATTGCACATGCATATTATATATACATACAAAACCCTCATGTTTTAAGTGAGCGGCCATGTGGATAGGGAGGGAGAGCGATCCAGAGAGCCAAAGAGGACAGTTAAGGAGAGGTTGTAGGGAACACCTCTAGTCACCGGCTCACTGAAGGCTCCAGTCCAGTTTGGGAGCCAACAAGAACAAACCTAGAATGATCCAAGGAGATAGGTGCTGTGTGCTGTAAAAAAAGGCCAAAGAACAGTGCAGCCTCCCTGCCAAGCGGTCCAGGAGGAGACATGGAAAAGCCAAGCACCCGGGCTGGCTGTGCGGGGAGATAAGCATTGCCCAAGTGTACTCCAGGGACAGAGTTTGCCTGCCGAGTGAGAGGGAAATAACGAAAAGAACGTGGGTGAATGGCAGAAGTGCTGATTTTGCGATGACTAATGTGTGTGGCAATGGAAAGTTATTCAGGGAAAAAGAAAAATTAGTTCTTTTTTTCTCAAAAAGCTGTTAAATCCATGCTTTCTTTTCTTTTTTTTTTGTTGTTGTTAAACCCATTTATTAACTTCCTGTAGGTATGAATTAGGAGCAGCTTTGTTCATTGGATGGGCTGGAGCTTCGCTCTGCATAATTGGTGGCAGTATATTCTGCTTCTCAATAGCTGAAACCAGTAATTCTCCAAGGTAACACACAAGTTGTACTTACTGAATGAAGTCAATACTAGTGCATTTGTGCCCACCATATGCATGCAGTTTGATTACTTTTCCAAAACACCTTGTAGTGAGGTTCAGGAAAAGATTGTGTGGATGAAAGAAAATGAGATTTAAGGATAATGTTCTGTCCATCATGGATGAAATTAAGAAAAGCTATTGATTCAGAGCAAATACTCGTTTAATATATACATCATAAATTTACTACAGCTGGAAAAAAATGCTCACTGATGTAAGAAAAGTCAGTCACTTCACATGTGCAAATAGACAAGTTTCTTTAATCCCAAATCATCACCAAAAGCGAGAGGCAGAGGACAGTAGTGGTGGCAGTGGGACCTCCACCAGAAGAAGCAGGTGATAATGAAGCAGCACAGCTGGAGGGGGTAACTTTCCACCTAGGATCTGCCACAGCCTGAATAGTTCATGACTGGGCCCTGATTTGTTGAGCTGTGGACAAGGGCTACGTGTCTGTAGAGAAGTGAATTGCAGTGACAGAAGCTGGATCAGGAATGTCAAACCAGAATGCGACCACATGGGGCAGGGAGGTGTCCCCCCTGCCCCCTCCCCTGAAATGGATAGGTACATTGCTATACATTTGTTTTAGTTTTATATCACTATAATGCTTAGATGCAGAGATGTTACCTGTCTGGGGACGTGACCTGTAAATAGTTGATTCTCTTTTCTTTTCAGGAGGGGGTATGCGTATAACGGAGCCGCATCTGTGATGTCTGCTCGTACAAAGGTCCACAACAGTGTCCCAGACAAAACCCCACCAAGGCACTTTGACAAGAACGCTTACGTTTAATTGTACTGTTGGAAGATTCAAAGCGTTTTAAAAACGAGTTTGTATGTTTCATTCAGAGTGATTTCCCCTCCCCTCAGCCCCTATGTACTTACTACTAAGACAATGACTTTTTAACATGTTAACTTGCAGCTTTTTACATATTGATGTAAATTTTATTATATAGTATTTTAAGACTGATGTTGGTGTTGTAAAGTTTATACCTGGAAATCATGAGCTGATGTTGCTTTCTCAACAAAAATAAACGAGGTATTCACCAATTCAGGATGTCAGTTGCTTGTGGGAATGACATCGCACGCAGCCTATCAACTGCAGCGCCTCTTTGCAACCAGTCCTGAAACGGGGGTAGTACTGGCCAAACCAGCCGCACTCCGTGCAGGTTAATACGTAAAAGATCTCGCCACTGATTAGCGGTGACACTGCAATTGCAGAAAGCGGCATAACTGCAGTGTCAGACACTGACAGGTAGCGGGAATCGGCAAGGTCTCGTCTCATGATCACATTGTGGGAGTGGAAGAATGTGCAGCTTGGTGCCATAGGAATGAGACTGAGTGAAGTGACTCTACTGGCATTTGAGAGAGTACAGTTGCCTAACCTGACCAGTCAAAATGAGAAGGAAAACTGAATACTTGAAGATTCTCAGGAATATGCTTTCATAATAGAATCATAGAATTGTCAGGGTTAGAAGGGATCTTAAAGATCATCTAGTTCCAAACCCCCTGCCATAGGCAGGGGCATCCCACACTAGATCAGG